TAAAGCTAATATACCACAAGGCTTTGTTCTTTCACTGCCATACCTTTAGTAAAATGTTCAATATTATTGTCTCAAGCTTGTTGTGTTGGTTAGAGGCATTATGGGTTTTTAACAGTTTTAATGTGGCCATGTCAGATAGGTGCTAGTTAGTAAAAATGTCACATTATACATTGCCAAAGTACAATGATGTGATTCTGAAATAAAATAAAATTAAATAAATGAATAAATAAGTTAAAAAAAAAAAAAACAGAAACTGATTCAAATGAACAAGGATACAGAAAGCCCCACTCTGCTTCCCTAAGTTGATTTTGTATGAAATCAAGAAAGTCTCCAAGAATCTGAGTTTTGGCATCGTTGGTACACTGCTGTTTTAAGGTGAAACTGAAAATGCAGCCTTTATTTGTCATGAATACATTACAGCATTGTGAATTTATCTTTGTTTTTTTCACCTGCATATCCCAGTTGGGGTCAGAGCGTAGGGTCAGCCATGATCAAGCGACCCTGGAGGAGGTAGGGTTTGGCCTTTCAGACCCTTGCCCAAGGGCCCAACAGTGGCAGTGCTGAGCTTTGAGCTGCCAACCTCCTGATCAGTAGCCCAGAGCCTTACCAGTTGGAGCTACCACAAAACTTGAATTTCATCAGATGGGTTTTTTTTTTTTTTTTTTTTTTAAAAGAAGAATCGTAAAGTCTAGATGTCAGAGGTTGAAATAACACATGCTCCATTTGTCTCTCCCTAATTAGGTTCTGATGATCCTCACATAATCTACACCTCTGGTTCTTATTTGATGGATTTAAAGGTGTGATAAATGTACTTACTTTTGTCATTGGACTGATCTGTTTTCTGTGTTTATTTAAATTATGAAATAGACACAAAGTGTAAATGTCACGTTTTAGCTGAAGCCACTGATTATTAAGTGTTTGCATGCTCACATATATTGACAGTAAACGATTTCCACGAGATGGCTGTACATGTTTTTCACAAGTGTACATAAACAGGTCTTCAAGTGCGTTGGTGATAGAAGCAGTGTTCTTTATGCTGCGTGCTGCCTTTTCCCTTGTTCACTTAACAGATTTGTATCCATAAGGCAGGGCTGCCTCAGGGCATCGTTGAGGTTCCAAAGCATACAATAAGTCTGTTCTAATAACTCCAGGTCCTTTGGGAAGCCTCTTTAACCTTCAAACCCACACACTAATTAATGTGTGTGTGTTTTGTGAGTCCACAGAGATGAGTGGAAGCTAATGAGGGACTACCTCTGCTCAAAGGGCACACTGGGTGCTAAATGCTCAGTGCTGTGATAGCGATATGTGGGTGGGCAGAGCGGATCGAAAGGCAGCACTGGATCCACGTCTTTACAGATGCTGCTTGAAACCCTCAGTCTGTCTCTGCATTTTCAGATTAGATCAATAAGCCCCACTGTACACAATCAGCAGTGATATAATGCTAGAAATATGTGAGGAGTTCTTTTAGAAACAGCACATAGATGCGAGTCTTTTACTGACTTCCATATTTCACAGCTATCTTGTGTTGTGTCCAATAAACGCCATGTTTTGTCCAGTTCCAAAAGCAATTACCTTTTTCTTTGTTTTGTTCGTATTTTGTTCATGGAAATTACTTAAATAGCCCAGACGAAGCTTTTCAGTCCACCTTCTGTAATTACTTCTATCTTCCTGAATTAAGCACACTGTTGTTCATAAGCAGATTTCATTGTAAATGCACCAGTTACTCCTTTATTTGTGTGTGGTGACAGATTGGAATAACAAAAACATTCATTTTAACACTCTGCATCCTCTTTTTAGAGAAAGAATTAAGCCACATTATATAGTTTTAAACACTAAGTTTTTAATAATAGATATGGTTAAATGGTATTAAAGGTAACATGATGCTTAAATTCAGCATATAGGTGTCAATTCTCGGCAAGGGGTAAGGCTGCTGTTGATTGCAGAAGAGTTTAACAGAGTTGTCTGCATTTTGTGACATGTTAACATTTTTTGACATGATAGAGTTTGCACTGGCTCAAAGCAAAGAATGAAAGAGTAACCACCGTGGTGCTGTTTGTTTTATTAGACATCACAGTACAAGTAGTATTTACGTATATGTAAATACCAGCTGTATAAGTTAATGAAATTGTATCATTTGCTAACTTTTTTAATTCTTATTATTATTATTTTGCAGACTCCTTTTCAAAGTGTCACTGAACCGTAGGAGTCTATGAACTTAATTTTATGAACCACATTGTCACGCTTAAGGCTTAAATTGCATGTTTTTAAATACATTAAAAATAGAAAGTGAGCATGAAGAATGTCAGTTTGGGTCAAAATCATTGAGCAGAGGTGTACTATGACTGACATGGTATATTAAGAATAATGTACATCTCCATAGTCATATTTTTAAAAAATGTAGTAATTTCATCCATTCAACCTTATTGCTGACAGCTCTTCTCTTTTAACAGAAATGCTCATTCTTTAAAGTGGCTTGCATTGTGCTGTTGTTCAATCCCTGATTTGCTGCCTTCCAGAAACTTAGGTCATGTTTCATTCTGTTCCTTGTTCACTTTGTTGTAGAAGTTTAACATAATTTGTGGTGAAATAGCAAAGGAAAGGCAGCAACATGTTAGGCAGAACATGACTCTAGGTGATATGTAAAAAATGATATTCGCTTTTTCTTAAAAGCATGAAACATGCTTCACTTGTACAGTTCGGGGCCCTGAATATGTTTCATATATGGAGTCATCACAAAATGCCTTGTGACGGCCATGGCAGCCCTTTTGCTCTCTGCAGCAGCCAGATTAGATATTTTAAATCATATCTAGTGAACAATAATAAGAAGTCTTGCTGATGTCGTAAGATAAAGGGAATTTCTTCTTCGTGTTTCTGAACTCAATATTAACTATTCAACAGTAATTCAATGAGATTTTATATGATAGTTTGGTAGAAGAGTTTTTATTTGTCATACGCTCATACAGTAGTCCAGTGCATAAGTGACTGTTCCACAAGACTGATTATAAAAATAAAACATTACTTAAAAACTATAGGAACATTTCAATAAGTCATAGTGTCATAAAAAATGATGGAGGTAGTGAATGTGGGGCTAAAGTGCAGTGTACAGTGTGCAAAAGTTAGTCATGTGCACATGTGCGTTATGTTTGCGCATAAACCTATTTGTTTTATACATATTTACATTAACCCGCTGTGCTGTAGCTGACAGAACAGGCGGCATAATTTGGCTTTTGCCCTTATGTTTGACTCATAAGGTATGATGCAACATACACTGGTTAGCGAGAAAAGCAAATTGGCTGTCATGACTACTACAAAGGGTTTTTATGATGGCTCCATATCTGAGAATGTTCAGGGTGTCCTACACTGTGTACCAACTTTCTTGCTTTTATGAAAAAGTGAGCATTTTGCATTTGGCATAAATCACCTGGACTGTGTTGCAACAAACTCACACTGCTATATTTTGTTTTTCGGCAGTCTCTATTGCAATATGTGAAAACAGCTTAGGAAAGACAGCATGTGCATAACTACCAACTGCAAAATGCAGTCTGTGTAGAAAACACTGTGGTCTGGTCCACTTTTATCATGTTTACCACATGCTGTGACACAGACTTGATGTCTCATTAGGGTCATAAGCTGCTCTCATCTCTGCTGTAATGTTCTCACTTGTGTGATCATCTGGGAAAAATGCTGTTTGAAAACAGCAACTTTTTAATAGCTAGTTTCCATATAATAATAATAATAATAATAATAATAATGAAGAACTTCAGTTTATGATCTGAAGATAGCAGAAGGGCTCGAGGTGGGGATAGCATAACATAAAGTAACTGCATTACATTTCATTATGACAGCCCTGTTACACCGTATGTCTTGTATTTTTTGCAACTTCAGAAAAGTATGTGTGTGATGATATCACATACAGCTAGTCAAACAATCACATTAGATTTTTATAGCCCTCATAAGTAACTGTGTAGTGCAGTGAATTCTGAGGGATCAGTGATTTCTCTCTGCTATTTGGAACCTGTCTATTGTCATCCTTTCCTCACTGAAATATTTACATTTAATTGCCTTTGTGTTTCTTTTTTGCAAACAAATCTTCTTTTTCAGTGTTTCTCTCCTGTTCCTTGCACATTTCACTGTACACATGTGGAACCTCCATGTCAGCAAGCTGTGTTTTTCAAATAAAGTTTAAAAAACAGTCTATACAAGAACTCAGATTAAATGATGTGCTATCAGAAAGTTTTCTTTTGCAGAATAAAATAAAAAGCGGGAGTTTTCTTTTTGTATCTAGCACCAAAAAAGTTGTAGCATGATGTGTTCATTGTGAGTTAATTGGCTTTGCTTCACATCCCACTTCCTGTGATGCAACTATATACAAACTGTAAGGTTGATGCTGAAACAGTATCCCGTGCAGCCCCAGTGGGCATCACATTGAATTTACTCTATCAAGACAACAGAAAAGCATGGAGGAAGTGTTGAGTTTCCATTACCAGACAACAGAGCAGAACAACAAACAGACGTTCTGTGAAGACAGTGAAGTAAGAAAAAATGTCCTCTTATTTGCCATAAGCCCGTCTCTCTGATAAAGGTCTAATTTACTCTGCAGTTGACATAAATAGGAGTCGCTGTTTGAAAACTCACTGTGGTGTCAGGTAAAATTCATGGGTCTAGTCATGAGCCCTTCTGTTTCAGCTCCCACCTCATTTCGTTTCAATTCAGTAGTCTCATCATCATCATTACATGGTTGTATATAAACTCCTCCTCTTCTTTCAGGTGGTTTGTTGTTACTACCATGACATAACATTGATCACATTCCTGCCTACATGTTCAGCTTCCAGTCTGTAAAGCACTGCACAGATACTATACAGTACAGCATGTAATGATAACTTGTAAATAGAGATGATCAGACTGATGATCACACTCCCAGCTCCACACCCCCTTCATCCCTCATTTACCTTCTGCTCTCCCCCGTTCTTCCTGTCTCCTTCCCTATCTCTCTCCTGCAGTTGTCAGAATTATTTGTCTCCTTTGAGGAGAAGCCTCAGGGTGCAGCCTCCTTAGCCCAGGTCCACAAGGCGGTGCTGCATGATGGGAGGACAGTAGCCGTCAAAGTCCAACACCCCAAAGTACAGAGACAAAGCTCCAAGGACATCATGGTGATAGAGGTGAGTCTGCCTGTTGAACTTCATTGAAATAAGTGAAGAAATGCCTCCTGTCTGTCTCCTGTCACTCCTCTGTCGCTCCTGTCCACACAGGAGGCATAGCATGAGTGGCCTGTTAGCAAAGCAGCTTCAGTGCTTTGTGTGTGTATTGAGCGGATCAGTTTCGACAGATGCACATAGACTGAAATTGTGCTTGAAATAATTCCTGTGTCGGCATGCAAGAAGTCGTAAACATAAATTAACTCATTCACAAAGGAATTACTGCTGCTGAGCTTAGTTGTATGTGCACAACATTGTTGCCATCCAGGAGCCTCTCATATTGCACTCATGTTGAAGCAGGTGTTTTATCTTCTTTTGGCACTCTTACCTAAAGCTGTGGGACTCACAGGCAACGAGTTTTGAAACACTGAAGCATGACCTTTAAGTTGCATTCATCTTTTAGTGCGGGCCACTATCCACAGCCAGCTCCAGTTTGTAACCAAGAGGCCGTAGACTTTTGCAGAATCATCCAAACGTCATTGCCTGGAGATATGGTTGCTTGAAATCCACACTGAGACGCCTATGAAGGCATTATTGGTTAGAATGTCCCGATCTAATCTCAAAGGTCTGGATCAGGGAAGTATTTTTTAACTGATCGGCATCAGCACAAACTTGAGTCCAATCTCTCCAGTGTTTACATCAGCTGTCACACAGGTGTCATAAAGAGGGAGCACAAATTCATCCCCACTCTCATGCAACTGGTCAAGGCAGATGGTCGCCTTCACTGAACCTGGTTCTGCCTGAGATTTTCTTTTCTTTTTTTTTTCTGACTGCTTGCTCATTGGGAATCTAAAGGAACTTTGGATTGTTGAGTTCTCTGTACTTTGTTTAAAAATTCAACCATTAAGCATCACAAAAGTCTTTTTCATGGTGGCCCATTGCCAGCCAAACCCACACAGTGCTCTTTGCTTTCCAACATAGATATGACCATATTCTGAGTGACCGCCTCCTTGAGTCACATCAGTATTAAACAGTAAGATGCTCCTCCTAGTGGAACAACCAGGTACTGCAGCTAATATACAATACATTTATTAACACGCATGGAGCGAATACAGCCACGTTACACCGTGACCTTTTGAAACTACATTACTGACAGTGCCCTAGAGGAGCTTTATGGCAAAGTTTTAGACCACACGATGTAACAATAAGGAACAGCTATAATGCAAAAATGCTGTTTTTTTTCTTATACATTGCAAAGCTATTCAGTTGTCAACCATATACATTGGCATAGTTTTAAGAACTTCATGTACTTGAACTTTGTATTATCTAGGACAAAGATATCAGATTGGGACTAGGTATCGGATAGTACTAAATAAGAAAAGACTCAGATCGGATCAGGGCAAAAAGACTTTATCAGGAAATCCACAATTATCATATTTGATTAACTGCTCCCAAAGCAATAGAAGATATTGTATAACTGTTTTCCAGACTGAGCAGGACTAACTTTGAGTGATAGCCTGATTCAAAAGAAATGAAGAAGTATCTCTTCTGCAGTTCATGAAACATATCAGGTTTGGTGTTGCTGATAGCAGGTTGGCCAGAAACATATTTGACAATATAGAAAGCTGTTGAGCAACAGTTTTCCTTCCTTACACTTGATTTACCTAATGATGTTCATTCAGGGCGCAGTCAGTCACTTTTGTCCTAATATACTAACAAAGTGTTAGTCTTTGACAGGATATCACTGTATACATGTTTGACACTGAGACTGATTTGACTTTGTAATTTGAAGGTGTTGGTGCGGGCAGTCCATTGGCTCTTCCCAGACTTTGCCTTCATGTGGTTGGTGGAGGAGGCCAAGAAAAACATGCCACTGGAGTTGGACTTCCTTAATGAGGGACTCAATGCTGTGAAGGTGGCCAAAATGCTGGCTGATTTCCCTTTTCTCAAGGTACACACACCAAAATGTGACTTTTTCTACAAGCCTGTCTTTTATATGACCAAACCTATAAAGGCCACGGGATTCATTTTTGACCCTGTTTGTCCCACATGTACACATCTACTTGTAAACTGCTGGTTATAATCTGAGACAGTCTGCTTCAATTCAAGGTCCTAGTATTTAAAAAAAAAAATTCAGTAGTGTTAATAGAGGTCAGACTTTTTCACGGTGTGTGAGAGCCTCCTTTGTGCTGCCTGTCAGCTCCTCCTAAATTCTAACAGAGAAACCCGCAAATCATATTTCCTTTACGACGCAGAGCTGGACTTCATGTCCATTATCATTTAATTTTCTGGTGTCCTTTTTTTCTAATATGTCTGAGAACTTTTATTAGAGCTGGTGAATGTGAAATAGACCTCTTTTTCCAGCAGTCGCTCTTTGTTTAATTCTTAAACCCAGCTAAAATGTCTTTTGCTTGGAATTCTTTTCTGTCATTTGCCTCTTGTTCTGCATGTTTTAATTGTATAAGTTGGCATTTGATAGAGACTTAAAACTTTGCAGAATGCAATATATTTTTGTGTAAATTCCCTCCAGTACAGTCAGTAAAACTCCAGTTGGCCTCAGTGGAATCAAAAATGATAATATCAATAAAAACACTTTCAATAATGTGACAGATTAGAACTCATCCTCTGATTATGACAGACAAATATTTTCTTTTAGTGTTTTGTCTGAGATTTAATGAATGCTTTCCTTGTTTGTTTTTCTTGATCAATCAGTAATCAATTTCGTGAGTTTTTCTGAAAGGAGTGTCCTCGATATATCAGTGCTATACATAGTTAAATTCAAAATCATTCATACCCATACAAGCTTTAGATTTATAGTGAATTGTTGTTTCACCAATAGGTTTCTTCTGGCTGGAAATTATATAAACAAGTGACGACAGATAGCAAGACATTATGTTATTAAAAATGCTATGTCCAAAATTCTTCATATCCCTCAAAACTGTCACCAGTCTTTGAAAAAATACAGCTTCTATCCCAGTCCAAATATTCCAGGTAATTTCTACCATGTTCTTGAACATTCTAATACACCATTGAGGATTGAGAACAGCAGATGCAGTGGTTCTTTAGTCACTTACGGGTTAAATGCAAGTCATGGCTAAAACCCATGAGCTTAGGGAACTTGCTGTAATGGTCCATCAGTGAGAAGGAGCTGAACATTCTGGCTGCTCACAAAATGTAGAAAGGCTATACAGCCTTTGCAAAGTGTTTTCAAGAGGCAATGGCCACAGTGCAAATGATAATCAAAAAGTACAAGGAGTGCCACACTGTGAAAATTATTAAAGAGCATGGTAGGAAGCCAAAAGTGACACCTCTGCTAAGAAGGAATGGAATAAGCCAAGAAAATGTCAACCATCACCAAAAAACCATTGTGAATTTGAGCAATTTTGGTACTAACATCTCATCAGACACTCTAACAGACACTGAACAAGGCTGGTCTCCACAGATGGAGACCAAGAATGACTCCACTTCTCCAAGACAGGCACACAAAAGCTTACCTGGACAAAGAAGAGAGCTTTTGGTCATCAGCTCTGTGGTGGTAATATTCAACCCCAAAATATCAACCCCGTAGCCAGTGTAATGCTTTGGGTGTGTTTTTCAGCTGATTGGCAACTTTGTGATAGTAAGCAGCATCATGAGAAAAGAGGATGGAATTTAGGTTCAGGAAGAAAACATCAAACATTCTGCAACAAAACTTGGGTAACATTGAACCTTCTAAGAAGACAGTGATCTGAAACATACAGTCAAAGCGGTCAAGATCAGGTCAACAGAAAACAGTATCAGCATGTTGGAGTGAACCAGCCAAAGTCCAGAGAATGATGGTGAAGAAGCCTTCAACCTCAAAGACCTGGAGATCATCACAGCGAGGTCCATTGTTTAGTGAGAATGGGTATCTGTAACTTGAGACGTGACATTTTTAGAAAAAATAGAACTTGTTAAAATGTATCATGAACATTTCTCACATTAGAACATACATTCCAGTCAGAAGTATCCTATTGGTCAAATACAGTTTGGCTATAGATCAGACTCTGACATGGGTATGAACCGTACATTGGATTGGTTGACAACAGTAAACAGTATGGCCACTGACCGCAGACACCTCAGTACCAAATGAATTACAAATCAGTATTTTTACACCTTATGGATGATCTCAACTGTCAGCGCTTTGAACTGTATACCTGTTGTTAGGCTGTTGATCAAAAAACTGCACATTCAATAAAGGATAAAAAAAAATTATACATTTCACAAAATTTGCAAAACAGTGATGCTATAAAAGAAGATTCCATACAGAGCTAAACATAGGAAAGCCTTTTCTATATACAGAGGAAAAAAACTTGAATTTGAAATAATCCTGGATGTTACCACACAGACACACACACAGACACACACACAGACACACACCCACAATTACATAATCTAAGCGTTGTGTGTAGAAACTAATCAGTGTCTCATAGAGAGGAGTTTTTGAAGCCATTTATAACAGAGGGGAGATGAGGTGCAGGACTCGGGTTATCTGACAGGCTCCTCCACAGTCTGCAGACACTCGGATTCAATGCACCTTCATTACATTTACATTTTCTTCATAGTAAGACTATAACCTTGGAAGGGATTTGACACTAGTGTTTTTTTCAGTTGTTATGATTATATACATCGCTATATTTGATCAAAACAATATACCTTTTCTTTTTTAACCAACTGGTCCAACTTGTAGATTCGGCTATATTTGACCTCAAACACTTGAGTACAGGGTGTATTAGCTCCTAGTTCTATTCACAATACACACAAATGACATTGTGACATTTTCTGATTGCTCCACTATTCTTGCTTTATGACAAAGAGAACAAAACACAACATTTTACCACTTCAATGTCAAACATTTCGTGGACTGGTTGATGCTTACCAACTTATTGTGAATGTGAAAAAAACTGAGGAGGAGATATTCAGTCCAGAGTTACTGGTGACAATAGTCTGGTACTTACACACACCCACAATGTTCCAGTAAATCAGGTTTCTTCATATAAATATCTGGGCTCCAAGGATTGGTTGAAAACCCTTATCTGTTGTACAACAGAAGGCTACAGTCTATCCACCTATCTGTCAGCCTGTCAGTTCATCTCTCCATGTACCCATGTACAGTATGCACTCTATTATCTCTGTCAAAGCCTTTGTAACACAGTATTAAATCAATGTAAGTACTTAATACAAAACTAATGTTAAGGTTTTTCCAAATTAATACAAATTTGCAATTTAGTTAGAACCAGCTATCAGAACTCAACCCTATAATGTAATGCACATCAGTAAGACAACTCTGCAGGAGAACAAAATCTAGTCAAAATGTGTAAGATCTATACACACCCAATGTTTATTGTTGCTCCAACCCACCAGAACAAATTCCTCGTATTGTGTAAACTATGCCTGGCAATAAATCTGTTTCTGATTCTGATATGTAATGATGCTGAAAATGAACAGAAAATGTATAGTATAAACATCTCCTCTCCCTCCCCTCCTCTATTGCCCTCTCCACAGGTTCCCATGATCCACTGGGATCTTTCCACAAAGAGGATCCTGACCATGGAGTTTGCAGAGGGAGGGCAGGTCAACGACAGGGACTACATGAAGAAACATTGCATCAATGTCAATGAGGTACTGCCTGCTACTGGTTTGTCTTGATTGGCAATAGTTTATTGATTGACAACACAGATCCCATTACACACTTACACATGCACACACATTAACAGCATGTCTGCATAGCAAAAGACGCACAGTAGGAGAGCTGCAGCTTCCACCCCCCACCTCTCATACACATGATGCCTTCAGGCGCAGTATTCTGTGTAGGTCATCTGTGATGTGGCGGCACTCAGGACCCAACCGTCACTGTAGTTACATTCATAAAACAGAGGAAAACAAGCTGTGGGTGTCATTAGTATGCTAAAAGAACAAGTGACGCACAAACTGCTACATAACTGGATTGATTAAAACAAAACTGTATCTATTTGTCAGAAGTGTGAGACACGTGACTTAAAACATGGTGGAAATGTTTTCTGTGTAAACAAATACCAATGTCAGCCTCAGGTGTCCTTGGGTATAATCTCTGTCATCCATCCCTCTTATGCCTCAGGTTTCTCATGGCACACTGCCTTTAATAGACTGGTGTGTATGAGAGAGGAATAGAAAAGAAAGACTAAGAGTAGTTTTTACCTTCTTGGAGTAGCAGTGATACACTATCAAACCATATAGAAATAGAATGAATATTGCAAGTTCTATAGCTGCTTAGAATACTGCATGTAAAAGACTGTACTGATTTTATTGAAAGCAGTTGAAATCACATTACTAAATGTGAATTGCCAAATAATCATGTACCTTTCTGACCTTAACAGTCTAAGTACATCCTCACAACATATGCTGACATTAAAAATCACAATTAACTCCCTAAAGACAGTGGCTTGTAAACAAATTGAACGTATGGAGCCTGCAGCCACACCTAATTTTGGATTATTCATTCTTGTATTTATGTGAATAAGTGTTTTTTCTATTCACATAGATTGACCTTTTCTGTTGATTCGTCATGAGTTTTTTGTTGGTCATTTAAAGTCGATTTCTGGTCTTTGGTTTAACACCTACGAACTCAAAAATAAATTAAAAATGTAGAATTTTTTCCCCCCATAAAAAAAATCCCTTCTTACCTTAAAATGACTTAGATGTAACTGCACTCTGTTGCTTCTTTTACTATGTGCAGATCTATGAAGCCGTGGTCTTGACTGTGCACTTCAGTCATGATTTGGTTTCCAGCAAATAAATAACACCTTAGGGACATGTTTACAAGGTAAAAAACAAAACGAAATGAAACAAAACAAAAAAACATTTTAGCTGTAGTTGGTCTTTGAAAATGTTGATTTTTATAGTTTTGGAAAAAACAACAGTGCTGCTATAAACTGCAAGCGCCAAGATATCCTCTGAAAAATGTTTTGCCATGTCAGCAGCCTAAGATCTAATGCTTAAGGAAAATGCCATGTGTGGTAATGAAATCTGAAAATGACAGTTGTGCTGTTATTGGCCTGTGGAAACACACATGAACGCATAAATCCACACACACACACACACACACACACACACACACACACAACTACAGTAAGAGACACATGTGACACAAATGAATGTGAGCATTAAGCAGTGATGACGAGTATTATGAGACAGCTGACGTGATAGATAGAGGACATAACACACACACACACACACACACACACACATATATGGAGGATGGATAGAATTATTAGGTGGCAGTGGTGCATGCTGGACCCTGTGTGTCTGTGTGTGTAATCACAAGATGGATGAGGGCCCAAATAGACTTTCCACTGAACTCGGCCTCTTGATGTGACCAGAATGGGGCAATGCTTTGCTATGATTGTTTTCTTCGCTTTTCTTTTCTTTTTCTTTTTTCTCTTTGCACCCCCACCGAACCCCATATTGGCAAGATTCAAGATATGACTGCATGCACTGAAGCTATAATCATACAACTCTGTGGTTCCAGTGTTTCACTGTATTGGGGCCTTTTATAATTTGTGACACATTATTTAATTCTTGTTAAAATACTTGTACTGTTATCTGAGTGATGTTTGACACAGCACAGTTCCAATTGTTGTTTTGTCCGCTGCAAATTAAAACCAACATGCTAATGAGGTTGGCAATATATAATAGAGAACCACTTTACAGGCTGTTGATGTCACAAATGTGATCTGATATGATAATCAGACCTCAGCAATTTCACTGGTTTGTGTTTCTTCCTGTTGGATACCCTATTATGTCATTTTGTCTGATTGCCAGTAATCTAAACACATCCAACTGAAATAAACAAGAACCACAAGATTACAGACCTTTTGTCCAGACTTCTGAAATCCTCTAAGTGCCTCATGCTCAAGCTCTCCCATCGCAAATCCACCACAGACAGCCTCCTGGACACCTGGCAGTTTACCAAGAGAGCCAACAGCTCTGTAGACAATGCAGTAAACATGGCCGTCCATGTTATTCTCTACCACATGCACTCTGAGGAACCTATCCCAAGATCCTGTTTGTGGAATACAGCTCTGTTACATGATCATCCCAGTGCTTGTGCAGGACAGCCTTTCCTGGGGGAATTCAGCTGACTTCACCCGCAGGTGACCTTCAGTCACCAGTCTGTCGAGCTGCTGAAGTTTGCAGATAAGTTTGCAGATGACGCTACCCTCACTGGCCTCCTGTGGGTGAGACTGGCTGCAGGTGGGCGACTGACCATCTTGTGACTTGGTGCAAGGAGGTGGACTTTAGAAGAAGCCCCACACACAGCCCCACCTACTACGTCACCCTGTATGACGCCGTAGTTAACACTATAGAAACCGTTTGCTACCTGGTCACCATCCTCACCGAGGATCTCACGTAAGAGCAGACCATCAGTCATCTCACCAACAGGGCCTGGCAAAGGATGTACTTCTTATGGAAGCGAAAGAAGTTCAACTTGTCCAAGTCAATGGTAGTGTCCTTCTACTCCGCCATAGCTGAGTCCATCCTCACCTCGTCTGTCACCATCTGGTACGCTGCTGCAACTGCCAGTGACGAGGGCAGACTGCAGCGTATCATCCGCTCTGCTGAGAGGGTGATTGGCTGCAACCTGCCATCTCTCCAGGACCTGCATGTCTCCAGGACACTGAAGCAAGCAGGAAAGATTATAGCTGACCCTTCCCACCCCAAACATAATCTTTTTAACACTCTCCCCTCTGGCAAGAGGCTGTCACCACAAGAACAGTTTCTTCACAACTGCAGCTGGTCTCATCAACAAGACCTGGATCCCCCATTGACACAGACTGTATCCCACTCATGATCACTACACCTTCTGTTTACATAAAGCCCTATAGTTATATTTTACTATTATTATGAATATTTATCTGTTATTATTATGTATCAACAACAACTCTTCACTCATATGTAGATAATATTTGGCATATATTCACTGTAAAATAACATTTTATTTAATTTAATTATTATATGTATTTGCCTTTTTTTGTCCTCTAACTTGTTTCTTGATTGTGACTCCACCATGTCAAGGCAAATTCTAACGTACTTATCATCCAATCATCCTGATTCTGTTTAATAATGCAGGGCTTTTACACGGACAGATACCATGGTCACTACTTTATGACAATATCTCATTTTTATCATCATATAAAATTAACTCTACCAGTGATGATGAAATACAATCCAGGAAGTCTACTTTGTGTCATACAAACAAAACAAGTTTAAGTTATCCACAAAATTGATGCGTCTGTCACAGAAGTTAAACAATAAATCAGTGAAGCTGAAATGAAATGTGTCTCAGGTGCAGAAGACAAAGTTAATCAAATGGAAACTCAGTGGAGTCGCATGTTGACATACAAATCAAAGTGGATGAACTGGAGTGTTGAAGACTTACCTGAGAAAGAAGAGGGTCAACAAATACAGTACTGTGCAAAAGTTTTAGATGTTTAAATTCATTTTAGTCACGCAAGGGAGGATCAGTTGTGCAACATGACACAGAGCTCTCATCTCCCCATCATGGGAGATCTCACTTACAAGAAGAGACGGAAGACAGGCAAGAAGAACTATGGCAAGTTCTCCAAAACATTTGCAACAATCTCTCCACCCAGTTCCTTGAAAAACTCATAGCAAGCCTTGATTTAGTGCACTTTGTACGGAGTTGATGGTAAAACCTGTGTGGAATAATTTTACAAGCCTGGAAAAAAAAAAAACTTGATCATCGTTGTTTTATCTTCTGTCACAACAATAAGGAATTAAAGTGTTCAAAATTCAAAATAGATTAGCAATAATGGCCAGAGAAATGCCTTGCTGCATAACGCTACATTGCATTGTGGTAAAATATGGTTTAGGAACTCCCCCCTCCCCCACAACAGCTTTCATGATCTTTGCAATTTGTGCAAACTGCATGTTCACACTCAGCCCTGGGCTTTGATGGTAACAAAGTACTTGTCAAATCCTCAAACAGCGTCTGAAACCCTGCACACTGCATCACCACTGGGGGCTGGGTCTGATTATTTTTGTAATGTTTGGAAGCTGAGACTCAAACAGTCACTTCACAAAGAATTTGAACTTCCCTCTCAGGCTGTTTTTCAGTCTTTGCACTACTATTGTCATCAGTTTTTTTTTGGTACATACAGTCAAGTTAAAAATGAATGAATACATTTAAGAAGAAACTCCTCAAAGAGGTTAAAGCATTGCACACCCTGAACTGAATATTGTCCTTTTCTGTGGATTCCATGTGCATCTGCCTGTACATATTATGACTTTGTATTCAAATTGAATCTGCTGGTCTGGCCTGAGAAATAATTATGAAATTTTGGCTAAAACAAAGTCATTTGTTCGTTAAGCTGAGAGAGCACTGGAACATTTCAGATATTTTTAAAACCAGACAAAAGGGTTATTTCAGGCCAAATGGGAAAGTTAGTAGCTGTGGATCTCATCTCTGTTTGAAATCTGGTAGTAAAATAATGATTTTCTGTGACCATGTGTGTCTATTCCCTTTCTCTCCAGTGTCAATCTGTGGAGCTCTAATTAATGGCCATTAGTGTCTGCCCATTCCTCTCTGAGATAATTTGTTGGCTCCCTGCTCTCTCTCTTTGTTGGCTATATAAGTGTGTGCGTGTCTGTCGGCTTGTAATGTTGTGATTGTGAGGACCAATTTCAGTTGTAAAGCGTTGTGAAGACATTGGTGCACTGTGAGGACATTTTCGTCGACCCCATGACTTCCAAGGGCTGCTTGCAGGATAACATTGGTTTCCGATGCAGAATGCTGCATCAAACAGACATATTCCTGGGTCACACTGAGGTTGTTTCCTCAGCTGCTGTAGTTTGATATCTTGGTGACTCGTTGTGTCAATGAGGTGCCGCACAAATACAAGAAATCCCACTTGTGTTCATGTCTGCATGCACGTGTGCATGCTTGTGAACATCCCGTGCCCTATTTTGTCCTCTGGAGGCATCCACCAGCACGAATACCCTGACTAACCATGAATCACATCCCCACAGTTTAAATGCTCTGGTTGAATCCACAAAATTAAATTAGCAAGTACACAAGAGGAAAATATGGAGCTTAGTGGAAGTTTAATTAGGAGCACCACATTCACATTTTTCTCCTTCAGCCGTGCTTTCAGCTGCTACAGTTTGAAGCATCCAGAGTCAGAAAAAAACGTAGGTAAGGACAGGTCACAGTATGCTGCTGTAAGCAAAGACCAATGCAGTTTAATTCATCACACTTTGCAATATATGTGAAATTTACAGATGCAGTTTTAAAATGCTGTGTGTCGTGGTGATATTATTTACTGTTTGTGTTGTGAGTGTAAACATATGGTGCTTATACTGTTTACACTATGTTTAGTTTGGATTCCCTGAGTAGTTGCTGCAGAGGGAATTATTAATAGGGATTTAGATAAATTCATTGAGGCTTCTATCATGTCTTTGACGGCTTCAATACATCTATGAACTTGTTTGAGCCCTCTGAACTCAGAAGAAGTTTCTGGGTGTTTTTTTTTTTTGCTCCTGTTACATTTTTACTCACTGTTGGCTCATTTTTCACTGCAGAGTCCTGCATCTCTATGGAAACAGCTCAACCAGGGATGGAAGTAGAAAGAACTGAAAACAAAAATTAATGGCATAAATCATAAAATAGAAAAATCAAAAGCTGAATTTCTTTAATTGTTCATTTTAACAATTGAAAACAAATGGAATCAGCCAGTACAATATTTTTCCAAGTACCCGCATTGGTTACCAATACAGGAAAAATGTTGTCTCAACTTTCGATAAATATTTTACTATTTACATGTTTAGATAGTTTCCATATGTTTCTCCTCTCTGTGTAAACACAGCCAGCAGTTTAGCTGAAAAGTCCCTGAATTTTTATAAAATGACTGTTGGTCTCAGCTCAGTCAGTCATGGCATCTCAGTTACACAGAGAAGTGCAGATTTTCTTTCTTTTTTTTTTTTACAGAATATTGTGCAAATAATTTATTTTGACAGTTTTTGTGGTTCAAAAAACTGTGATGAAACTGAAATGTTTACAGATTGCCTCCTTCCATATAATTCCATCTATGCTGTTGAACTGAAAACATACATACGGCGTACAGTACAAGCCAGACCTGTTGCATTTAGAAGCTGAACTTTGAATGTGGCCACATCGTTACAGATTGAATTTTTCTCATGATTGAATAGCTGTAATTGTTGATGGGTTTTCAGCCTGTAGGCAGCAGCAGATCTGAGGGATTTGCCTGATTCTATATAAAGATTAAGCTTTGCCTTTTGCACAATGAAAAAATACATGTCAATGTCTATATTTGTAAAAGAGAAAGAATGAGGTCTGGGTAGGAAATTCTTTTTCAATATTTGAAATTATTTGTGAAAGGTGGTCATATTCAAATATGTAGCACTGTGTACATAAACCATAAATAATAATAATATTAACACTAATATACTAATGTCACACCTCATGAAGGTGAGCAATTAGATCAGCTATACTAAAATTGTGATATTGTTTTTTTTTTGTTTTTTTTTTACTATTTTAAGCTCTCTTCTGTTTAAAATCTCATTTTTGTTTTCTTTCAGTTTTTGTAAAATCTGTTTGGATTGAACTTTCTCCATCACTTTTCCAACAGATTTCTGAGAACCTGGGCAAGATATACAGCGAAATGATCTTTGTCCACGGCTTTGTTCACTGCGACCCCCACCCAGGCAACGTGTTGGTCCGAAAGTGTCCCCAGAGCAAGAAGACCGAGATCGTTCTGCTCGATCACGGCCTCTATCAGGTGGGAAATCTCCAGGCTGCTCGGACATAAAAAAAAATACCATTTGTTCTAATATTGCAGTCCATTTTTCATGCTGCTGGCTGAGGCCTTGAGTAAATAGGTAGATCAGCAAACACACGCCGGGATGCTTATAAAAAAAACATGGGCCACACACACACTTCCACAGGCAGACACACACTTTTATTAGCGCTACAGCACGATAAAAGCTTTTTGATAAACAACTCATTTGATGTTGTTCTTAGCAGAGTGCAGTGTGCTGTGTTTGAATGCACCACAGCCCTAATCATACAGGAGCATATGTGCACTCTCATGTTCTGCACACACACACACACAGAAAGACACACAAACACACACACACACGCAACCTTTTTGATTGTTAACACTCCTCCAAACACCCACCGGCTGATACAAACATCCACAGGTCTTACACAACTTTGTTTACTGCTTGTTCCTGTATTCATGAAGAGATTTTAGCAATAAATACGCAACTCCATCATCTTTGACACACAATAAACACACACACACAGACTTCCCTTGGACCATAATGGCACCAATTTATTCCTAATGACTTGTGATTCAGCTGTCATTTTGGAGTTGAATATTAATCTAGTCGTCATATGCACACATACACACACTGTCATTTTCAGTGTCATTACCAGTTGGATGCTACACACTGAGAATGTGTTCAAAGTGCTGTCATCGGTCTGGAAGTGGCAAAGGGTTCTTAGCTGAGGGACTGACTGTAGCTGAAGAAAAAATGTATTAAGAGAAAAATGAGATTTGTTAGATTTTGTTACTGTTGAATAAGTGATTCATGCATAGTGAAGATGTGTTTACATTTGATTATTATTTTAACTTTTTTTTTTTTTTTTTATAACGGCTGTCTAAATTATGATGATTGATAGCAGATGAAAATGAAAACTTCAACCCATCTGAGAAAGGAGATTTGGAGTTCTTAAACATGCGCACGCAAAGAAGAAATCACAGATAATAAACAAATCCACACAATATTCTGCCTGAAGTGTGTGGCAGTTTCCATCCACAGGCCGGTTGGGGTAAAGCTACACTCTGGGATAAAACTTCTCCCATTGTGTTCATTGTGTTGGCTGTGGTCATTCACGTATAGTGTAATCAATGAAAAGAAAGAAAACAGAAATGGAATTAATTGTAATACAAGTACATTTATTGTTTGCAGTAGGGTTGTCCCAAACCGCGGCCATGGATCACAGGATTTTTCATGTGATTATTACTGGCACCAAAATGAGCCCAATCGTTTCATAAAATATGTTGCCGCATTTGTGTCTAAGAGAGAGATCACAAAATGCTTATCACCTTGCGTAAAACATAAGATTTCTAGCCCAAGAGAAGTCCTTGTACTTGTTGTTTGCTACACTCAATGCTCTCTGCTGGCCAGCAAGAAATTAGCTGCAGTTGAGTGCCCGCCTTCTGGTGTTGCTACAGTATGAAACAGTACGAGGTTCCACCTGGTGGAACATCCAGGTACTACAGCTAATCTACAATACATTTTCTGGCATGCACGTAGAGAAAAAAGGTTTTCACCATTTTTTGGAGTTTGTCGAGCCACGCTACACCCAATCCTCTTGACACGCCACTTCAGATTCTGTTCTACTGGAGATTTACAACGAGGTTCTTGGCCACTTACGTACCATTAAGGTACAGCTTGGGTGCAGAAATGACATTTTCTCTCAATACATAGAACTAATCAATCATGAAGCATATACATTGGACTGATTTGAATGACTTTTATTTTCTTGAAGTGTGTATTATCTATGAAAATGGTATCAGATTGGAGCTTGGGATCAAGAGACAGTACATGTTAAACGACTTGGGTCAGATCAAAGGGGGAAAAAAAACAAAAACTTGATAGAGACATCTGTAGTTTACAGTTTACATTATATCCACCAAAATGTAACATAAAATGTAACCTAAACACTCATTCTCCCCTCAGGTCCTTCAGCCACAATTCAGGTTGGACTACTGTCGGCTATGGCAGTCTCTGATTAACGGCGACATGTCTGGGGTGGAGCGTTACTGCCGCAGACTGGGAGCTGGAGATCTGTTCCCCCTGTTTGCCTGTGTGCTGAC